AAAAAAGGGGAAAGAAAAGAACATGGACCTTGCTCCCAATAGTATTACATCCTGGTTTTCAAGAAAAGATATAAACACAGGATCCCTGCCTCAAGTGGGGAAAAAAAAAGCCAGGTATGCTGAAAAAAAAGGGAAAAGAACAGAAAGGGAAGGAAGGAAGAGAGGGATGGAGGAGGAGAGAAAAAAAGACAGAGAAGAGACATATAACAGTTCAAAAGAGAGAAGAGCTCTCATAAAAGAATATATGACTAGTTATCAGGAGAATTAAATGGATCTATTGATTATAGCTGCTGAGTTCTTTACCACTATGGTGAGGTGAAGGTAGTTTGAGAAGGACTTTGAGTGATGTGTATAATTTATATAGGAATTAGAGGGAGATATTAGATATCAGGCCTTTGAAGAAGGGATCACTAAATAGAGAATATTCAAATAGATTCATCTCTTCAAAACTCAAATTCTCCAGAAAATCTGACCATGGGAATTACTACTCATAGGGAAAACAAAGATGCCCACTTGTGAAATCGTTTTATTTTTAAAATGATACATTAGTCACTAATTTTGATTATATTAAAATATTTTTCTCCACATTCATGATCCCTACCACATCATGGGCAGAGATAACTGAAACATAACAGATTGAAAATTCATTAGCATGTTAGAGGTCATTGAAATAGATCCACTACAAAGTTCTATCCTGTTATGAGTGGTCTATTTTGGGTGATCAAGAACTAAACACACACACACACACACACACACACACACACACACACACAACAAAACTTCACTCCACAAATGGAAAGTTAGCAGGAGGGTCATGTTCTTTACCTTCTGTGAAACAGGCCTCAGGCTCCAGGGTTTCCTCAGGTTCCACCACAGGCTGTTCCTCTGCGGGTGCGCCAATGTCCACGGTGCTGCCTTCAGACGAGCTACTGCTTTCATTCAGTTTCTGTGCACGAGATGGACATAATTAGTAAATCACTTTAATTTTTGGTAACTAATAAGTAGCCCACCAAGAAAGGATTAGTACTATCAACTGATTTTGAATTCTCTTTGAAATGAAGAGGTTTTGTTTAGAACCAAAGTGGGATTGGATAAGAAGACGAAATAAGGAAATTGCCTACATGAACTTCTTTGCCATAACTCACAATGTAGATGTGAAATCAGATTGCTATGTCATGAAGTCACAAATAGCCATCAGAAACATATACTAAGCAATCCACTGTTCTATGGATTAGAGAAGCCCCGATATTTGCTTAGGAGCAAATCTTTTAATTTTCAAGTGGTTAGAATTTTTTCTTGTCATTTCACTATTAATCTCTAGTTTAGCTGCATTGTGATTAGATAATAACCTACATGATGTCTTCTATTTTGAATTTATGGAGACAACAACACTATACAGTATCTGCTATTCTGAATTTATTGAGGTTTACTTTGAGGTCCAGTATATTGTTAATTTACATAAATGTATCATGGGCACTTGAAAATAAGAATTCTCTGTAAATATAATTTTTGAGATAATAAACGTTTATAGCATATTTACTTTTATTATTTACTAGAGGCCCAGTGCACAAAATTCGTGCACTGGTAGGGTCCCTAGTGGCTGCCAGCCAGGGCCTCCCTTCCTCCCTCTGGCCGCCTGCTGCCACCACCACCTCTGGCCAGGGCCTCTCTCCTTTCCCCTGGTCGCCTGTTGCTGCCGCTGCTGGCCAGGGCCTCCCTCCCTTCCCTTGGCCGGCCCCACCCCCTGGTCGAACTCCCAGACAAACTCCCGGTCAAGGGGACAATTTGCATACTACACTTTTATTATATAGGATAATATTCAAGTTATCAGTGTCCTTTTTGAATTTTTCTTTGTTTTATCAAAGGCTAAAAGAATATTATTAAAACCCTCACAATCAGTATACATTACTTTTATCAATATATTCGTATAGTTCTCATTATTGAAAAAAAAGATAAAGTGGCTCTGAGTAGTTTATTTGATTGGGGTAATAACACTATTATACAAAAAGAGAAGGGAAAGATTTGTGGAAAGAATCTGTTTCTACATTAGTACATTAGATATACATTCAAATAAAATGCTAAATAAATTGAATAACAGCAAAATAAAACATCCTCAAACAAGTATTTTATTGATTTAAAAACCAATAAGGTCAATTAACTTTTCCTTTTCTGTTCTTATATTAAAATTTTATTTTATTTTGAAATTCACCTAATAAAGCCACTGATTCTCATAGTTTTTAGATTAATAGACTATTTTAAAAACCCATGTTAATGTTTACTAAACCATTAATCAGCCTTTAATTTACTAACTTCCAAAATGAGCTAGTTTATTTGAAAACAGGTATATTTCCACACATGACTCTCAGTAGCTAAACTACAGAGTCTACACTGACTTGTATTCTCCATGTGTTTTTGGCAGGCTGACTTAACAAGGGAACCTAGAGAATGCCAGAAACACATGGTGCCTGAGGCATCCAATTCGCCTCATACAATAACCATTTAATAACTACAGCCCTGATAGTAGGAACATTTTTCTTCTCTGTGGCTTTATGCAACATTTTTCCTTTTAAAAATGTTTGCTACGGAAGCAAATGATTTTGACCCTGAGTGTGAAAACAAAGTGAAGCAAATAAAATACTCCATGATATTATTTTAAGAGTACATGATTAAATAGTATTTTCTTGTTCTCTGACTTGATCTTAGGATGTTTTTGCTTTTATGTTAGACTTGGTTTGTTAGAGGGAACTTATCTATAGGATTTAATATAAGTTCAATTGATAATAAGTGCTAAAATATATTAAAAATAAAGTGGGCCCAGCTGGTGTGACTCAGTGGTTGAGCTTCGACCTATAAACCAGGAGGTCACAGTTCAATTCCCGGTCAGGGCACATGCCCGAGCTCAATCCTCATTGGGGGGCATGCAGGAAGCAGCCGATCAAGGATTCTCTCTCATCATTGATGTTTCTGTCTCTCTCTCCCTCTCCCTTCCTTTCTGAAATCAATAAAAACATATTTTAAAAAATAAACCTAGAATTTAGGGGTCAAAAGGGTACAGAATATGTATGTGTCTATAAATATTATTTTTGAGAAAAATATTTATTTTTAAACCTAGGCATGTACTATTTTAAAGGTGAACTTTTCACTAAAAATATATATATAAAATTAAGTCATACATAAATGAGATGTTCTACAACCTCAACAATATTAATATTTCATTGTGTATATTGTGCATTAGTAAATATTTCCAATGTACACTAAGCATATTAAAATTTAAAATGGCCTCTATTAAAGACTCTCAACTAAACACCCATATAATATCAAAGGAAAAACCACTGTACAGAGATTTAGTATTTTCACAGAGCAGCTAGAAAAATTAAATATTGTCATTAATTCCCACATCATCCCTAAAACCCAGGTGATTTCTTCATCAAGCTGTGTATTAGAGTGACAGTCTTCAGTAGATTATTCACATTTACTAAATATTGAATTGTTCTTATTGTGAAATCTAATGATAGTCAAACAATTGCCCAGAGTAGAGGTGATGGTGGAGGAACAAAACTCTAATATATTCTAAATTCTGCTTTTTAACATGAATTTTTGTATCAATGATTAGCTTTAAAGTAACAAAAGAAAAATAACATTCCATCATATATTGGACCAACAGAAAATTATTATAATGCAAGTAAGTTAGACACCAAAAAAAAACCCCCAAAACTGCAAAATTCATTAATAATTCCCAGGCTAGAAAATAAAATTGTAAACCAAATGAGTAATTTCCATTTTAAAATTCATTTTGCTATATTGAGCAGAGTCACTAGTGTTTTGATATTAATTTTTAATGTTAAATAACATAATCTATAATAATAAAAGTGTAATATGCTAATTAGACCAGACCACCTTTCTGATGACCTTCGTGTCGACCTTCCTGACGAACTTCCAAACGACCTTCTGGACAAAGCCACTGCGGCGGGGGCCAAGGCAGAGGCAGCTGCCACCGTGGCGGAGGCCAAGCCCCTTGCACAAATTTGGTGCATTGGGCCTCTAGTACTATATAATAAAAGGCTAATACACAAATTGTCCCATCAGGAGTTTGACTGAGAGTTCAATTGCTTGCTATGACATGCACTGACCACCAGGGGCAGCATGGAACATGAAGAGCAACCAGCGGCCGCAGCAGGGTGCTGAGGGAGTGAGGGAAGGAGGAGGTGGGGAGGCTGGGAGGCAGGGAACCTGATCGCCCTGACGGATGGCCAGGCCTAGGGATCCTACCCGTGCCAGGCCTCTAGTTAACAAATATTTAATGTGTCTACTGAAAGCGCTTAGTTCTCTTTTTAGTCAGACAAGCTTGGGTTTGAGTCTCAATAACTGTTTTATAGACCTTAGGCAATTAACTTGATTCTTTAAGCTTTAGTTTCTAATTTATAAAATGGTCCCTACTTCACATAGTTGCTATAGGAATCAAACCAGATAACACATGAGGAATGCTTGGCATATGCTTACTGAATAAATGGTAATAATTTTCATAACAATATTATATAGTTTGTAATATACGTATCACCTCACAGAATGGCTATTATCAATAAATCATCAAACAACAAGTGCTGGCAAGGATATAGAGAAAAGGGAACCCAATACACTATTGGTGGGAATGCAAACTGGTGACACCACTGTAGAAAACAGTATGAGTTTCCTCAAAAAATGAAAAATGGAACTGCCTTTTGACCCAGTGATCCCACTTCTTAGGAATATAGCCTAAGAATCCTGAAACACCAATCAGAAAATATTTGCAACCCTATGTTCACAGCAGCATTATTTACAATAGCTAAGATCTGGAAATAACCCAAGTGCCGATCAGCAGGTGAGTGGATTAACAAGCTGTGGTACATTTAAACAATGGAACACTACATGGCTGTAAAAAAGAAGGAACTCTTATCCTTTGCTATTAGCATAGATGGAACTAGAGGGTATTATGCTAAGTGAAATAATCCAATCAGAGAAAGACAAATACCAGACGATTTCACTAATATGTGTAACCTAATGAACAAAATAAACTGATGAATAAAATGGAACCAGAATAATGGATACATGGAACAGCCTGGTGGGTGCCTGAAGGAGGAGGAGTGATGGTGATTAGATAAAGAAGGTGAAGAGATTAGTTAAAAAACATTTATGCGAACCCCATGGACATGAGTGTGGTAAAGGCAGAGAGAGGAGGAGGAGAGGGTGGATTGAGGTAGGCAAAGGAAGGGAAAATGGAAGATACTTGCAATAATGTCAACATTAAAATTTTTAATTAGCCTGGCTGGCATGGCTCAGTGGTTGAGCATCAACTATGAACCAGGAGGTCAGAGTTCGATTCCTGGTCAGGGCACATGCCTGGGTTGTGGGCTCGATCCCCAGTATGGGGTGTGCAGGAGGCAACCAATCAATGATTCTCTTTCATCATTGATGGTTCTCTCTCTCTCTCTCTCTCTCTCTCTCTCTCTCTCTCTCTCTCTCCTCTTCCTTCCTCTCTGAAATCAATAAAAATCTATATTTTAAACATTTTAATTAAAAAAAGAAAACAATTTAAACAATGTAAACTAAAGAGTATTTTTCTGTTTTTGAGATTTCCCCACAATAAATGGGAAATGAAGATGCTTTATTCTAGACTTCCTTTGAATTATCTTTCATATCCATTAGAGTTTTAGCTTAATATTTCTAAATAAGTTGCCATGGACTAAATTGTGTGCCCCCACAATTAATTTCTTGAAGCTCTAACTCCCAGTGTGACTGTATTTGGAGATAGGGCCTGTGAGGTATTGATAAAGGTTAAAGGAGATCCTAAAGGTGGGGTCCTAAACCGACAGGGCAGTTGCTCTTACAAGAGCAGGAAAAGACACCAGAGCTCTTTCTCTCTCCGCACATGATATCAAGGAAAGGCCAGGTGAGCACACAGTGAGAAGGCAGCCATCTGCAGCCCCAGGAGAGCACTCTCACCAGATACTGACCCTGCTATCACCTTGATCTCGAACTTTACAGCCTCCAGAAATGTGAGGGAATATATTTTGGTTGCTTAAGCCATGCCGTGTACGACATATTCTATGGCATCCTGGAAGATTAACACATAGGTCACTATAATTTTAATTGGAGGATCTATATAGGATATTTCTTCTTGTTAAGTTCTCTTCCACGTATATGGGACAATGTGATGCGATGGAAGATATACAGACCCTTGTAAACAAAGACTGTAAGTTCAATTCTCAGCTATACCCCTCATTAGTTATATGACTTTAAGCTCCATCAGCTAATTTTCTTCTCTGAAAATTTAGAATAATAACACATTCCTTTCAAAGTTATCATATGTATTAAGTCAGATGATGCTTATTCATTTCTGGGATCATTCACTTATTCACCATCTAACAAATATCCATTCATAAAAATGAGAAAATTCACACAAAAACTACATTACTCTTCAATTTATCAATCATTTCCCTGGTCTTAAATCTTGGATTTATCAGTGAAGTAAAACTTTATATGATGGCAAAAAAAATCTCGATGGAAAATATATAATTATAAATACACATACATATTCATATCTACCCACAACTACAAAATCTTACCTCTTTGCTTTCTTCCAGATCCGATTCACTACTGAAGTCCTCTGTGTTTAAATTTTCAAAGTCAGACTCTCCTACAGCAATTGGTACAGTCACAGTAAGACTGGGATTGTTTATGAATGACATGTAATCACTTTCATCAATAATGTATTTTTCAACACTGCTGCCAGTTGCTATTCCACTTGTGGTTCCATTTACATCTTTAAGATAGCGAAGATCTTTCCCAATTTCTGTATGATTGGACATACAGCTGTCTTTCTTATTGTGTAGATCATCAAGTGGTTTAATTTCATCTAAAATCTTTTGCTTTCTAACGAAGGATTGTTGAATAAATTCATATATTTTTCTCTTCACATAAGCGATTCCTTTATGCATCCTCTCCACAGCAATTTGGAGATTGTTCATTTCATTATCGTCATCAGTGGCTGCAAGATTGTCTGCACTAAATGAGCTCAGAAGCAAGGCCAGAAAGAGGTTCAGGACCTTAAAAATAATATAAACATGATTGTAATTTCACCCCAATATAAAGAATAGCATATGGACATCACTTATTCCTCTAAGTGTAGAGGAAACTATAAGTTCTAACAACTAGACAAGAAAGGAACACCACAGTACAGTGATTAGAGATTGGGCGATCTGAATTTTTGATCCTGCTCAACAGCTATTTCCCTACACATACATCCTTGAGCAAAGCGATGATTTCTGTTGGCCTCAACTTCTCTCACGTATAGAATGAGAAGTTGTATGAGATGCCCTAAGGTTTAGCTAAGTTTAAAACTGTTTGATTTTAAGAAAACAGATTGATGTATGTACTTATAAAAGAGCTCTGAACTTAAAAATCACTAATGCTTGCAATTATGAATTTAAATACATTCTATAGTTTCTTTATTGATAAAGAGTGATACTTCATAGGACATTAATTGAAATATGACCATTATGACCCAGAATGAGAATTAGGGGTTTAACATAGGTATTGACACTTGTTTTCTTAATCTATTATATTTTTCATACCTCACTAATTGAACTAATTGACTAATTAGGAGAACTGTTTATTAATTAGGAGAACTATTTATTCCTAATATTTCCATAAGACTGACACACTAATGTATATATCCTTTGGAATATATTATCTATTTCTATACTATAAAAAGTAATTAATATTCCAAGTTTAAAGAGAGAGAAGAGTTGATCAGTTACTCGATTCAGGTAACCTCAGGACTTATTAGCCAACCTTTGTTTTGACTGAGAGCCACTAGAGAATTGGCTATCCCAGAGAGTAACTGTTACTATGGCCATGAAGGGACAAGAAAATGGTAAAATCAGTATGAACACTTAAAGGCTTCACTTTTTAGTCCTAAATTAGCAAGTAAGATTGGGTTTTCTCTAAATTGTTTCCAGACTTTTCCTTCCCTTGTCTCTGAATGTTCTCAACATATCCTATTAGGCCTGTCTTCAATATGATACTGTATAGGAATTCACATAATAAATGTGATGACATGATTGACAAAGTGGTGTTGAGTATTACTGTAGAGTCCCTGCTATATTGATGTGTTGTCAAAATGAGACTATAAGCATATACAAGGTAAGAGACTTTCAAAATTATTAATCATAGTTTTTGTTTTGGATAAAATGTCATCATTCTATCGTGCTCTTAATCTATTTCTGAAATACATATCTCAAATGGGTGCATACCACCAGGTTTCCAATGACCATGACCATCATGAAGACAGTAAGGCACATGGCTTGACCAGCGACCTCCATGCAGTCCCACATGGTCTCTATCCACTCTCCACACAGCACGCGGAACACAATCAGAAAGGAGTGGAAGAAGTCATTCATGTGCCAGCGTGGGAGCTTACAGTCGCTGGCAATCTTGCAGACACAATCTTTGTAGCTTTTGCCAAAGAGTTGCATGCCGACTACGGCAAAAATGAAGACGATGATGGCCAACACCAAGGTGAGGTTACCCAGAGCCCCCACTGAGTTGCCGATGATCTTTATTAGCATGTTTAACGTTGGCCAAGATTTTGCCAACTTGAAAACTCGAAGCTGGAAAATAAAAAAAAATTATCATGACCTTTAAAGAGGTTATATATATATTATGGTTTACCAAGAAATGGTGATTAATATTGAATCTGTTATAACATCTGCCCTGCCTTTGAACTCTCTCAGGCTCATGGGTAATTTTGAGCCCCCTAACAAGAATCTGGTTCTTACATATTTTAACAATGTAGATCATTTTCCCTAAGAATAGATGTTTAATGCCGATGTGGGGTCCAAATGTGCTTAATTTGTTTAGTGAAGGTGGTTATAAGCCATACTAGGTCTGACACTAATATTAACATCGGAATTGCAATGATTTCTGCTGATACTTATTTGTTAACAGCATGCAAAGTAACATCATATTGAGTTCTACTATAAGTGGAGAAAAGTATTTATTATTTATTAATGCTCCTTTGAGGCACTGGCATAGCTAGATGTGCCTGCATTTTAAAGTTTGGAATATTTCCCATGATTATAATTCTTTTTCTGATGTGTAAGAACATATATGTGAATCAATGGGCATGTTAAGTAACCCTACAGCTTTCTTTCCTGTGAAGAAGCTTGTTTTCCAGAGGTAGAATTAGGAAAAGTTTCTGCCCACACATCTTGTATCTAATCATCATCCATTGTTACAAAGGGTTGTTTATATTTTAAGTTACTATTAAAATGGGATACATTTCCATTATAAATATTTTTAGATCCAGAAATATTGACTGTAGTTATCTCTAGAAACAATAATTAGTCAGAATGGTAACTGAGAAATATATTAAAGTTTATATGACTATGCTTTTTGCAAGAAACATTTTTTGAAATAAGTGGGGAAATTTTATCCATTTAGGAACAGCTTCTGACAATGCAAATGTCACACAAAAACTGAAAATGTTAGTGGTTGTGTGTTCAAATCTATAATAGTGTTATGCAAAAACCCTGGTTATCGGGAAGATTCTGTTGTTGCTGTTTTTGTTTGTTTGTTTTTACCAATCGGAATGAACGGAGAACTGATAATCCTTCCACATTGGCGAGGCCAAGTTCTACCAGGCTGAGTGTCACAATGAAACCATCAAAGATATTCCAGCCTTCTTGGAAATAATAGTAAGGATCCATGGCAATAATTTTCAGAAACATTTCTGCTGTAAAGATCCCAGTGAAAACCTAAGATCAAAACAAAATTACCGTAATTCCATCAAATAATGATAAAGTAGAATGACACAATATTTGCTCTTAGAACAAAATGCTTATGCTACTTTCCCCATAATGATTCTATTGCTAGCTTACACAATTATAATTGATAAAAGGCTCTCATAGACATCATTTCATTTTATTCTCACGGAAGTTTTAAAAAATATATTCTTATTGATTTTAGAGATGAAGGGAGAGGGAGAGAAAGAGATAGAAACATCAATGATGATGAGAATCATTGATCAGCTGCCTCCTGCTGGCCCTACACTGGGGACCAAGCTCGCAACCTGGACATGTGCCCTGACCGGGAATCGAACCGTGACCTCCTGATTCATGGGCCGATGCTCAACCACTGAGCCACGCTGGCGAGCCTCACAGAAGTTTATTAAGTGGCTAAGGCAGGTATTATAATTACCTTACTGTTGAGGAAAGAGAACGTTAGGTGGGTTCAATGACTTGCCTGGTATCATACAATTGGAAAACGGGAAAACTAGGATTTGAGTGCAAATCTATTTTTAACCAATGTTCTATGCATTAAATCAAACTGCCTTTTCAAACAGCACAGGTACTGACAAGATTTTGCCCAGGAACAATTTTATTTATCAAGAGGTTTAGTCTCATTTCCCTCAAATCAGATAGTTATTAAACATGTATATGTATTATAATAATATAATAGTAATATAATGATATAATATTACTATTATCAATTTGTTAAGCACACAAAAAAATAAATTTACTTCCATAGTATAAACCCTAGTGCTTTGAAAATGTAAATACTACAATGCAGTACATTTTACATGTTCTGCCTTTACCATCAAAAATCCTAAATCTCAAAACAAATATGGCAAATGCATGCATTACTTTAGAGCTCTCTTTCAGCAAATAAAAGCTAATAGTCCTAAGTTGAGTCAACTGACAAACACTTCAATAATTTATGTTTTTTAAGCACAGAAGAGAAAGAATCAAGTGGCAACCTGCAACCAAAATGGCCTTGTTAATCATATAATACACAAAATGTACTGGAAAATTCCAATATTTTATAGTTTTATTATAGAATAGATGGATAAAACAATATATGTCCTACCTAGATTCTGGAAGTGGAAAAGCTAGAGACGTTTTGACTGGTTAAGTTCTTGCTTATAATGATGATGACCAAGCAAGATAGAAAGATCTACTCTTTTATTTTAATCTTCTACTGGTAGGGGAACTGTGATAATATTATTTCAAAAAGTGTGCCCTTAAACTGTTTCTGCATCTTAAAAATATTATAACTATTAATATTGACTTTTCAAAAAGTTCTATGCCTATTACTTTCTTAGTTTTTTTGCTCTGATATCAAGGACTATTATTGTTGGCAAAATGTACAGTGAAGTCAGCTAGATATATTTCCTATCTTTTGGGAGCCAGGAGTAGGAAGTTTGGTGGAAAGACTGCTAAAAGCTATTAAATGTAAACAGTTTCTCAAACAAAAAAAATCAAAGATTGAACACATTTACCTTCTAATATGCTTACCAAGTTTCCTACTGTAAGCACATGATTGAAATGAGCTGTCATGGGGTAGTGCTCCATGGCCATGAAAAGAGTATTTAAGACAATACAGATGGTGATGGTCAGGTCAACAAATGGGTCCATCACAACCAGGTTGACAATATGTTTCACTTTTAACCAATATGGTGAACAGTCCCAGATTAAGAATATGTTGGCAAATTTGTACCAACAGGGCGGGCATTTCTGCCTGGATTCTTCAAGTTCTAGATTGAAAAAAAAATAAGAACCACCACCAAAAGATTTATTTTATACACACATTTATTTCAGATCCACTAGACTTCTTTTCAGTAATCAACAGGTTTCCCATTGCTACAGAGTCAACCCCTTTTGTACTTAAAACAAAACAAAAATCTAAAGTATTTATTCTTTAGACTCCTGAACATATTTCATTAGACATACACATAAAACAGAAGTAGCAAAGAATAGTTTTTTTTCCTTGTATGTATTGATAATGTGGCTCAGCCTTTAACTTAAATGAATCATCTTGTATTTTATTTTTATTTTTTAAAAAAATACATTTTATTGATTTTTTTACAGAGAGTAAGGGAGAGGGATAGAGAGTTAGAAACATCGATGAGAAAGAAACATCGATCAGCTGCCTCCTGCACACCCCCTGCTAGGGATGTGCCCGCAACCAAGGTACATGCCCTTGAGCAGAATCGAACCTGGGACCCTTTAGTCCGCAGGCCGACGCTCTATCCACTGAGTCAAACCAGTTAGGGCTGAATCATCTTTTAAATGAAGTCTCAATAGAAACATGGATTGGGGAAGTGTCATTCTGTGTTAATATCTGGCTAACCTATTATCCTCTGGCTGTAAGAGATAGGGTAGGGATCAGCATGAGCCAAGAATCATTTTTTTTTAATTTGTTTTTATTTTACAAAAATGACCTACTTCTCTCTTTGCAATCTTGAGAGTATTTAGGTTGATGTTGGAAGTCTTAAACTAAGTAGAACAGAAGAGAGAATCACTATGACTAATGGGATTAGAAACCCCTAATAGAAATGCTTATTCACATGATCTCACTTATATGTGGAATCTAATGAACCAAATACTGATAATCAAAAATAGACCCAGAGTCATAGAAGCATGAACAGACTGTTAAACCGCAGAGAGAAGGCAGGGAAGGGCAGGTGGGAAGAGATCAACCAAGAACTTGTATGCATATATGCATAACCCTTGGACACAGATAATGGGGCAGTGGGGGCCTGAGCGGGGAGGACGGGAGTGGGCTGGAAGAGGTTAATGGGGGAAAACGGTGGACCTACGTAATATGTTCAACAGTAAAGATTAAAAATAAACTAAACTAAACTTATATTAACTCTTTTTAAAAAAGAAATGCTTATTCTGCATTTTCAAGGATTTTCCACACACAGGAAAACATTTGTTAGAGGTCCCATATCACTGAGTTTAAAGAATTTTTTTAAAGTTCCTAGGACTTCTAAGTAGGTATAACAAACAATAACTCTTGAATAAGACCTACTATACTCTCCACAGAATATACTGTTTCCAATGCACAAATAGAGATATTTGTTTAAAAGAGACTACAAGTTTAATAAATTGAATTGAATGGAACTTGTTACAAACCTTCTACTGTATTTGTTAAAATGCTGGCTATACTCATCGCTCTTTGCCTTTGGGAAGGATCTTCTAGAAAATCCAGGGACACATGGAAAGAACTTGACCGTCTTTTTCTCACTTCAGTTTCAGTAGTTGTTCCCTGTAAAGAAAATGCTAATGTATTAAATAAATAACTTGAACCATATGATGAGTAAACAACTAACATGACACAGTGAATTGCATGAAACACATGCATCATGCACTTTCATATTTAATTGGTGATGGCAGATATTGCTGACTTATTGTATAATTAACCTGGAGTGTCCAAACTGTCAACTGTTTAGCCATACAGCAAAAACTGAATTTTTTTAACCTTCTGATTTCGTAATTTTATGAGACATGATGTAATTTAGATATAGTTGATAAATCTCTTGAGAGACATATTTAACAGTTACCTTTATTTTAGAACTAATAGTGAAAAACTAACAACTTGAAAAATTCATATAAATGATCAGGGCATTTTCTTTTGAGAAAGGAAGCTGCTTATTTTTAAAGAAATACAAATGATCATAACACATGTAATTGCCATCTCAGTTTCTGGGCACAAGACATAGATGGTCACTGACAACACAAAATGTATGTTTAAGAACACACACACACACATGCTGCATGGACAACAGTTTCATCCAGGGTACCAAAGCAATAAGTCATCTGATACTGACTTAGTCATGCCTCATCATGCTGATATATTTCCAAGTGAGTTAACAGTCTGAGGCAGCATGTGTTTAGAAATTCCTCATCAGCAGGGTATGCATCACAAACATATAACATACCTTTGAACACAGACAATTGTTTTACCTGTCTGTATTAATCATTTATTTGTTTCTTTTCACTAAGATTAGTTTTGAGAAAGCCTATATCAGCATTTTTTTTTTAGTAAGACAAATATGAGTACTAGAAAATTTTAAGAGAACAATGAAGCTATGTATTTAGGCACAGTGTTCTTAAAAATCTTCTAAACTATAGCAGGGCTATATTGAAGACTCTGTTGGAAAGATTTATTATACACCCTTTACACTTAAACATAGACATCATTCATTTACTTTTTTACCAGGCTCTAGAAGATGCCCTACTATCTAAGTTCAGCATGGGTATATAGCAAATCCTCCAACTGGAGACAGTAACTTATGATTGTGTCTAATTTATCCTTAGCGTGTTTAATAGGTAAATGCATTCAGGTGTTATGCAAGAGAGTGTTGGGGCTTTAAGTTTTAGTTGGTTAGTCTATAAAGGTATTACAAGATGCAGGTGCATTCACAGCTTGACCAACCAGGAATCATTCTCAAGGGGTTCCATTCTGTAGAAACACTGGCTGGTGCAGCAGTAATGGGCCAGCCATGCCTGAACTGTTTAAAACTTCCTTACATTGTCATCAGTAGCTGGCTTATCTATTATCACCTCTGGCAGAAGCTGTCCAACAGGCGATGTAGGAACCGAGGGTCCACCAACCAAGGAAACCACACCATTGCAATCCACAGTGCTGTGCATCTTCCCACTCGCGGGAAACACTGCCAGCACCCGGGACGACCGGCTGGTCTGACTTAGGTTACTGTTGCGTCGTTCTCCATGTCGTCGGGGCACAAACAAGGAGTCCCTCCGGCTCTCATTATCCTCAAAGGTGCTGTGCTCATCGTCGGCAAAGTCATTCTCTGAGCCCACATCCTTCGCTCGCCCTCTAAAGCTGAAAAGGCTCGTTCTGCTATTGCGCCTTGGAGAAAATATGGAGCCACGGATGCTCAACAAAGACTAAAGTGGGACACCAAATAAAAAAAAAAAAGCAAAATCATTAATATAGCCATTTGAAATGTGTTTTTAATTTGCAAGATTAAGTTGAAGGAGATTTTAGTATTCATGACAGAACATGATTCATTCCTTTTGATTAACAACATTTTCATTTTATGTGCATTTTCAGATTAAGTTAAATTCGTTTTATAAGAGAAGGTTTCGAGTCCTGGAGATTAATGAATGGGGAGACAGATTGCAACTTAAAGATATTGAAAAACAGAACCCTGAGCTACCATTTTTCAAATTCAAAAGGAAACATCATTGCAATATTACTATGGACATTGTAAACAATCGGTAAATATCAGTAGCAGGGCTATAATAAGGCTACATTTGTTTTCATTGCGCTTTCCTTCCAAGGAATTTCATCACTTTTCACAAATTGCTTTAGTACATCTTTCTAAAATCACTTTAAATTAATCATAATGTCTGCTTCATCTATAAGGCTCAGTATCTTGGGACTCGAAGTTAAAATTTCTGAAATCAGACTGATGAACTTTTTGATAAAGTATACCATGACTCATATTTTCAGAAGCGCACATGATGTTTTATAAAGAAATTAGGAGGGGGGGGGGCAGTATAAAATGACCAAAAAGACACTGATTAGCTAGTCCAAAATCCACTTTTTTTAAAATTAAAAAAGCTGAGGAGCCCTGGCTGGTGTTGCTAAGTGGTTGGAGTATTGGCCATCGCATTAATGGATTATGGGTTTGATTCCTGGTCAAGGGCATGTACCTGGGTTGTAGGTTTGATCCCCAGCCCGGTCTGGGTACGTGCATCAGGCAACCAATTGACGTGTCTCTTTTACATATATGTTTCTCTTTCTCTCTTTCTCTCCCCCCCTCCCTCCCTTCCACTCTCTCTAAAACTCAATGGGAAAAATATGAGGTGAGCATTAACAACGACAACAAAAAGCTGAGGAAAGGGGGGATAAATGGCAATGGAAGGAGACTTGACTTGGGGTGGCGAACACACAATACAATTTACTGATGATGTATTACAGAATCATACCTCTGAAACCTATATAACTTCATTAACCAATGTCACCCCAGTAAATTTAATTTTAAAAAGTTGATGATCAGAAATATTAAATGCCATTAGTTACAAGTAGCAGCAGACAGTATCAGGATGAGAATCCAGGGCTCCTCATTTTCAACTCAGTGTTGTCTCAACTACACCAGGATGTAAGACTTACATATATATGGAGTACAATTTTCTCATAACTATGTGAAGAAAGGATGGGTTTACATATAATAAACATAGCAGTCAATTCAGTTGATGAAGATTCGTAAGTCTGATTTAATTCTCTCCCTCTTTCAGCATTCTCATTTTCATCCGGGCATCACTTAACTCAGTAGTGCCATACCTGGTGTGGGGAGGAGTACCTCTTTTCATAGGTCAAGCGATTCCCTTCGATGGAGAAGCGAAACCCTTTCCTCCTGATGCTGTCTTCAGATTCAGATTTTTGGAATTCATCCTCATCTTTCTCTTCCCCACCGGACTGCTCTTTCTGTTTTCTTTTCTTTCTCCGGTTTCTTCTCTCCTTAGCACTCTTGGAACTCAGCTTGGAGGCTTCAGATGAGCTGTCTGAGAGCCGGCCTGCTGCACTGGGTTCTCTGGAATGCTCTGAGGCAGTTACAGTGGCTGCCTGCTACATTGAGGAGAAATGGTTTTAGCATGGCACTAGTAAATACTTTATCATTTTAAAAAATGGTCCAACTATTTGCATGACATTTAAAAAATACATTTATCTGACTCAAGCTGATCTTACATAGAAGCATCTATGCAGTTATTAGAGGGAATTATTTTTTCTTTCCACCTAATGAACACTTGCAAAGTTAACTTGGTGTTCTCTATGCTCACATTTATTGTGTTTGTATTATGCTTCACAGACCACATATTCAAAAGGATCAATCAGGCATCCACAAGAACAGATATTCATTGTACTTTTGGGGATTTCATGTACTCTAAAAACTGGTATTTACTTAGCACTGTCTTCTTTTCTCTTAAATAAGAAACTGGCACTCGTGAGAAAAGCTGATGAGTTAGTTGAGGTCATATCCAAAGGCAGGAGAAATGCGATTAAGAGCTGAGGTCCTCTCTCCAGTTATTGAAACTGGGTTGTCCAATATCCTCAAAATATTATCAATAAAATCCATGGAAGGTAGTAAAACCCCTTCCTCGGCCCTGCATAATGCTCTATCAGAAGACTAGAGAGGGGAGGGTCAATAGTTTCTGCCAAGCAAGACAAGACATTCAATTCCCCAATACAGTCCCTAGCTTCTTCAGCTCAGCACTGGTTCTTGCTGGCCATGTGGGCATGGGACCGAAGGTGAACACTTTTAATTTCCAATAATTGTTTTAAATAACCAATAAAGGTTTTTCTAAGAAAAGATGATTTCTTAGGATTTTTTCTAATGCCAGTATGCTCATTCAGTAAGTGTCTCTCACTTGAGAAGACCCAAAAAATAATATTTCCCTTTTATTCTAAAAATACTTAGCTGATTAAAATAGCATGAGAGTGTTCTATTGTGGTTAATATTTTAAACAGTGTAGAATGTCTAAACTAAAGGATCTATATAGATGCTTGAAATGTAGAAATCTTTACTAATCTCCTCTACTACCAGCTTCTCTTAAATACAATCAAATGATCTGTCTCTCACTTTCTTTCCAGTATTTTTGTAACAACCATAACAATAAAAAATATCATACCATGAGACAGGACATATTTCATTTGATGAATTTACCTGAGCTGCCTCTTGCTGCTTTTTAAGCTGTTCGAGCATCTGCTGAAATTCAGCCTCTTTCTGCTCTGCCTCTTCCATGGTGGCCTGATTCTGTTCCTCATAGGCCATGGCCACCACAGCCAGGATCAAATTTATCAGGTAGAAGGAGCCCAAGAAGATGACCAGCACAAAAAAGATCATGTATGTTTTCCCAGCAGCACGTAATGTCTGGAAACAACAACATCAGCATTAATTTTCAATATTGCTGATGGCCCCAACTTTCAACTTACTTGTGTATTTTGAAGGATTCTGACATAAACCACCATAATGATGGTCACACCCCCTCCCGCTTCTTTGTTTGTTTGTTTTTTAACCATATCCTCTTCTTCCCTAACTCATACATTCACATTTTGAACTCTAGGAGGGAATTCTTAGAATTACTAAGAATAAAACAGAATTGAGTAAAATACCAAGGAGACCTTCATCAAGGAGCTGAGTCTTAAATGAAAGTCCAGGAAGAAACCAAAATCATCTTTCTACATCTGCTTATTAATTTTCATCCCCTGCCACCTGAGGGATGTAGATAATATCTGAGGGTGTAGCTGGAGCCAAGGAAAGGGTGTGCCTTCTATTTGGGAAGATGTGTCTTGGAAGGATGGTTAGTAAGTTTTGAGCTCAAGGGAAATTAGAGAGAATCACTGTCCCCAGCATCACTATGCTTAATAAATGTTATAATCAATAGGATAAAGTAACTCAAATCTCCCGATTTCAAGTTGTGCCCTTTCTATTATATTATGCTGTGGTTTGAATTTCATAATTAACTTGGTTTTCTTATATACTTCTACTTAAAAATGCAATATGTGTTGCTTCAGGTTCTCACCAATTGGTAAAGGTTTTCCCAGAAGTCCTGAGTCATCAGTCGAAACAGGGACAAAAAAGCCCAACTGAAAGTATCAAAGCTTGTATAGCCATAGTTGGGATTTCTACCAGCTTTCATACATACGTATCCTTCTGGACATTGACTGTAATGTGGAAAAAGAAAGTTTTATAAGAAATTCTGCTTTTTTTTATTATTCTTGTAGCATGTTATAACATTGTCTATTTCAAGGAATAGAAGTATGATAAATAAGTAACTAATACTTTTCTCAATTTTTGACAACATAATTTTACTAGCCACTAGTCATCATTAACATATTACATAGAATTTCTAATAATATTTTATAAAATTGTTTTCTGTCAATAATTAGCATTTTATCTCTTTTTCATTGTCCCTACTATGGAAGCCTCCAGAGTTGACTCTTGGCTCATATATGCTCATCTAAGAAAAAAAGCATTAGAGCCTGGCTCACTGGTTGAGCATCGACCTATGAACCAGGTCACAGTTCAATTCTATGAACCAGGAGGTCATGGTTCAATTCCCAGTCAGGCACATGCCCGGGTTGCGGGCTTGATCCCCAGTGTGGGGCGTGCAGGAGGCAGCCGATCAATGATTCTCTCTCATTATTGATGTTTCTCTCTCTCTCTCTCCCTCTTCCTTCCTTTCTGAAATCAATAAAAACTTATTTTTAAAAACAGCATTAGAGCTAAAGTTATAAAACCTAAGTACTTGCCTAATATTTAGATAAGTTGTCACCTTATAAGTAACCATAATTATAATAAAGTAGTATAAATAAAGTTAGTTGGCTGTTATCTGTCAGTTTCCACAAAAAAAGAGACAAAATAAGTGTGTATATATACATGCACATATACAGGAACACACACAAATTATTGGCTTACCCTGCATCAGAGCTATTTCCACATAGTAATGCATCTAAAAAACCTTCCAGAAAATAATGATATCCTATTTAGAAAAAAGAAAGTCATGAGATGAACATTTGCATTACATTGAAAAATGAGAACAAGAAGATGAGGCCCTACTTTTAGAGTTCATTAAGTAATTTAAAATATACTATATAATTCAAAGACACAGGTATTTGCCCCTTCTCTCTACAAATGTTAGATATTACATTAAGGGGATTACTTACTAGGACAAAGCATTTGTTCTTGGTAAATGTAAAATTAGTGGTAACTATAGGTATTAACGTAATATTTTAAGTGGTATCAGTGTTTTGCCACCACCCTCATAAAAAGTAAAAATTTGCATTCTGTAAAAATAGATAAAAATAAAATGGATTCCGTTGCCTTCCCCAAATAGTCACATATTTCAAAATAGAGGTATTGTATCTTTTCTGGTTTTCTATATTTTTAAACACAATTTTTAAAAGTTTAATAATGAATTATAATTTACATTATACCAACTCCCAGAATATATCATAGGTGACTTTTATTTTATTTTTTATAGGTGTCTTTATGTAAAGGATACATAAGTCATGTCAAGTTATGTAAAACAAATGAAATAAAAATAATCTTAAATACTAAAGCTTAAATAATTATTATAGGTGAATACTTCATTATCTCAAAGTTTTCTGTCTCTGGCAAATTCCTTAGATTCTTTCACTATTCAGTTGAAGAGTCACTTCTGTGAATTATTCTTTGATATTCTCTAATTCCTTCCCACTAAAGATTGGCAAATTGAGAACTCCCACCATGCTGCCAATAACACGTATATATTTCAATTATTATTATACTCATTGTCCTATAGTGTAATTAGTTGTTTACAAATATTGTTTCTCCTTGAAAGAAAGCCTAATGGTTAATTATTTTCACATTGTAGTATTTGGAATGTAGTAGTCTTTCAATAAAGTTTACTGAATGAATTAGTAAAGGGATAACAAGAAGAGAAACACAAAATTAAATAATCATTTTGTAAGAAGAATTTTTCAGAAGAAAAATTTTAGATTTTCTCAGAAGAAATATTTTCTAGATCCTAAACTTTCAGAGAAATTTATCCTATGCATAGTTCTGTAAGGGATACAAAACACATAATGCAAAATTTAATTTTCATTTCTAACATCTTTATTTCTTTGAACATAGAACAATTATGATAGAATCTTTAACTTTTATTTAAAATTAAACAAAGCAAAAGGAATATGTAGTTTCTGGATGAATTTTTGATATCAGGTACTTATATGAAGTTTTATTCCCAATTAAATTCACTGATATATATGCTTAATCTGAAGAAATTTATCTTTAATTTTAATAAATTTAATTTTCTAATACTTTCAAAGAGAAACTACTTTGTTTATATTTGTATTTGCTTTAAAAAATATTTCAACAAATATAATATTATTAGGAAACAAATTTTAGAGCTGAAAATGGCCTTAGATATCCTTGACTTTGAATATATGAAAAATGGCACCCAATAAATTTCACTAGAGAAAATATACCCTAAATGACATCTTCATAGTCAGCTCCTTGTTATTACATTAAAAAAATTTTCAGAGAGTTGATGACATCAGTGGACTTATTGGCATATGTAGTTAATAAGGGACATTTCACGGACTGCTCTGACATGTATTTCTCTTAAGGTATTTTCTTAATCTAGATATTTAAAACTTTGTAAATTATTTGTTGGCAAATCATTAATATCATGGAAGAGTTCATCTGTAGTAACTAAGGTATTTTCTAGATCTACAACTATAAAAAGACAATGATTCATTTTTAAAGATTATATTATCACTAGAGGCCTGGTGCACAAAAATTTGTGCACTCGGGGGGGGGATGAGGGGTCCCTCAGCCTGGCCTGTGCCCTCTTGCAGTCTGGGACCCCTCAGGAGATAATGACCTGCTGGCTTAGGCCTGCTCCCGGGTGGCAGAGGGCAGGCCCAATCCCTAAGTGCAGCCCCTGGTTGGGCTCAGAGCAGGGCTGATTGAGGAGTTGGGGCGTTGCCCCCTGTCATGGCACAGAGCAGGGCGGATCGGGAGGTTGCGATGCCACCCCCTGTCACACTCAGGGTAGGGCCAATTGGGGGGTTGGGGCACCGCCCCCTGTCACACTCAAGGCAGGGTCCATGGGGAGGTTGCGGTGCCACCCCCTGTCACGCACAAAGCAGGGCCAATCAGGGGGTTGGGGAGCTCCCCCCTGTCATGCACAGAGCAGGGCC